ATCAACCCTTTTTAGTGTTAGCCAACTTGATTTTCCTATTAGTCGGTTTGATACATGTACTTACATCCTGATGGCCGGTATGCTCTTCTCTCTTTTATGCCTTCGACCTTGGTCGATCAAATGGAATCCCCACTTCCTGCGCCAGGCGGCATCGTCTTGTTCAATCACTCTCAGTTCCTTTTTCTACCTTTTAGTTTCAGCTACATGACTTCAAGTACCTCCAGCCCACGCGGGTCCTCCCAGTCGGTAGGATTTTTCTCTTTTGGTCGAGGTTGCTCAGATGGTAATTTTTTCGGCCTTCTGTGATCCCGTATGCTTTTGATTGACAGTGCCTTGTGGGGTCTGAAGACGACGCTGTTGCTTGCGATGCTGAGCCCAGAGAGCTGGACCGTAGAGGAGAAAGCTCGGTGTGCATTGTGATAGCAGCTAGTTGGACACAAACTCCAATCCTACGATTGGAGCAGATGAACCTACTATGGCTTTGGCTGACCCTCTGATGCCACCCGGTTCCTGTCATTCTCCACGTTTCCTCATGTTTCCCGGCACTGCCTTGCAACTCACGGTCACCTACATCTTCCCCCATTGGGGTCTCTAGACTCCACCAAACCCGGTCCTCACTCACACTCAGCACTTTTCTCTACAAGTCAGAAAGAAATCTGGAGCAGGGATAGCATTCCTCTTCATCTATGTAGAACCTCTTGCTCACTATACTTCAAGCAACAACTTCCGGCAAAATAACCACTTGCTAAATTGTTCGAGACATTGAGGTACAATCTTAGTTTCTCAAAGTAGTCCAAATGTAAACTAACAGTTTTACACTGGTAGACCGAAACAAGAGTCGAAGCTCTCCCTCAAACTCACAGACAAGATTCTCTCAAGATCAGTTCTACTAATGATTGACATGGGATTGGTGTGTAAAAAAAAGGATATATACAAGAAGTTAAGTACACCGTTAAATGGACTGCTAAAAATTAAGTTGGCTAACACTGAAAGGAATCAATGAATTACGGGGTGAAAGAGATGTTGTCGAGAAAATGGATGAAAGGTAGGCCTCTAATGGGTAATCATTCGGCAGAATAGGATTGCAAAAGAAGGGTGATTTTTAACTGCTGCAATCGACCACCACACCAGTCGAGCTCGTTAAGGTGTTTCAGAGCCCATTCGATGAATTTCAACGCCCATTCCCGGCTGCAGGCGGCATCGGCATCGGCATCCTCGATCGTTCGCAAAGCTTCTTCTAACTTTTCAGCTAGGGTCTCACGGATTACCGGGTCGTCATCAATCTCACCGAGCCACATTGGCCGTCTGCTCCCGTCGGTAGGACTGGGTCGGCTGGGTAAGATTTGCGTCCGGAGGTCTAGTAGCTTCTTACTCAGATAATATTTCTTGTTGTTTTCGGCAATCCGGTAAACTATTGATTGAGCTTTGCCGGCCGGTACGACGATCGTCAGCTCGTGATGGTCGCCGTGCTCTCGGCATCCTCGAAAGGTGGGAAGGATGAAGACCCTCTTCATGAACTTGTTCACTTCAGCTTCCGGTGCAAAATTGGCGGCCATGATCTTCAAAATCCAAATTAATTCCGTCCTTCTTCTTTTCAAGTTCTTGAGCTCAAGTGCGTATACACTGATACCGTAGGATTGAAGCTGAGACTACAGGACGATGATCAACAACGACGAAGCGAGTGAAGGTGTGCGATGAAATAAAAATTAATATTACGGGAGACCGGCCCGGAGAAGCAAACAGTTAAGAACTTAGAAAAGCCGGGTTGGTTGATAGTTAAGAAGTTATATTCAAGGCGGATGAAGGTTGATGGATGTGGAGGAAAGAAGCCAAGCAGGAGGCAATGTCCATTCATATACCATCCATGATTATAGAGACCGGTGAGTGTTTGTTTTGCATGAGGAAGGCTACCGGAAAGGCCATGATGGCGGTCCGGAACAAAGGCAACCTTCACCCCAGTATCCACACAGTTTAGGCTCGGCCAGCTGTCTGTGTCCCCCTTTGTGGTACCGTTTGAACAGCCTGAACAAGAAAAAAAAAGCGCTCTTTTGCAGCAATCGGTTTCCTCTGCGGATTATTCCCAGTCAACACTTGCAGCTCAGGTTCTACACAGATGATCGATGCCCGACCGCTGGCTCACCGGTCCTGTACTGTCCAGATCGATGGAAAACCTCTCGCCTGGTCGAACGTAACCGAGTCTGCCAACGGGTAAGCTCTCGAACCTATTTCCAACATCAATAACTGCATCTTTAAAAAGCTCGGTTCGTGGAACCGCCGTTGAGATCGGCTCTTACCGAAGCCTTACAGAGCCGATCTTGTCGGCTCCACGGAGGGGCAGTGATCGGCTCGGCAGGAACTGCAATGACGTCATCATGGCTCTGCGAGATGAGAATTGGATCAAAACTCCAAACTTAAATGGTGAAAATCCTGGAAGATCCTGCAAATCTGTCCCTCAAAACACTTTATATTCCAACTCGTTTGCCTTCAAGTCTATACACACCCATCACGAAATTTCAAAGCTTTGCCCGAATGGACGACTCAAGCAGTGGACAGGCCAAACCTGATGAACCAGAGCTGGGAATAGAGCTTCGACGCCAAGCAGGTATCATGAATTTCTCTTTTCATCAAAAGCAAAAGCATCAAACAGCCTTAATGATGTGAATTTTCCCCAGATCTGATCATCCAGGACTTCAAACGACTGAGGAGGAACGTTAATTCCTGGCCAACTGCTGTTGAAACGGAGGTCTCGCTTGCGAGACTAAGACCAGAGAAAGAACTTCTGACTCGTTTGGACTCAAGCCTTTTACCTCAACTTCGACAACAATGCGCCGATCTGGCAGGATTGTTACGCAAAGGATCCGACTTGAAAAAACACCCGGCCTCAACTCTCAAGCTCATCTCACAAATCCAAGCCAATCTTCATCTCACTCTAGGCCAAATTATTGAGACGCTCAATGCAATTTTTCCCGGAAGAATCCCCAAACCTTACCAGACAAAGGACCAACACTCCAACGAGTTCAAAATCTATAGACTCCACTGTTTCGAAATTTCTATCAGAGTCGATCTGACATTCCACCTCGAATATCTGTTCCAACAGTCCGTTTATGTGATCAAAGATTTCAAGCTCTCGAAGAACGTTCATCGATGTTATATGCAGTGTGCATCTTCTAATACCGACGAGGCAATCGATTCGGCCATTGGATTTTCAAAGAAGTCCGAACTAAGTCTGATCTGGGATAATTGGGAAAACGCGCTGGACCATTATGATGAGAAATTAGAACTACTATTAAGCCGGAAGGATTCGATGCGAATTGAAGATGACAATCTCTGGAGTGAAGCAGCCATCGACCTCGTTAACTCACTCATCCCAGTTTTCAAACTATCAAGACTGTTTTTCAAGAAATTATATCGACAGAGAATCAAGCAACAAGTCAAGTTATTTACAGAGATGTGCTCTGATCAACTGTATTGGTTAGACCGATCAACAGATGACATACGCAAATCGCTTTGCTGTATTCTGATTTGGATCGGAGATGTTGATCGCCTTGAAGATGTTGATCGCCTTGAAGATGTTGATCGCCTTGGCCCCCTCGAAACTATGCTGGCAATCGTGGAAGGAGTCAAACAGCTTGTTACCTATTTCAAATCTTATCTATGTCTTATCAACCGGCATATTATCCCTCATCTATTCCCAGTGGACATTGATTTCACTTCTTATGTTTATTTCCAAAATTGGTACATTACTTGGGCTACTTCCTTTCTACTGGCTACTGATAATTCTATTCAGATTGCCCAATCATTTGATGAGACTTGATTCAGTCTTCTGTAGTATGTTTATAATTCACAGCTTTCCAACTACATCTGTTTCTTATTTATGTTCTTTTGATTATAGTGAATTTGTACAGTCATTTTGAGTGATAACTTGACCACTGTTCTGAAACTAAAGCAGTTTTTACTGGATGTGAATGTTAAATCATACCTGTCAAACAAGGAAGGAATTTGCAAAACCCAACAAGTTGTAGTAAGTCACATTATTAAATTTCTCACTCTTAATTAATGTCCCACATGCAACACGTGCAGTCTTTTCAAGGGCCAGCTGAGACCCTTAGTCCACTGAGATGAGTAATGAGAAAGACTGGCAGAGCTGAATTTACAAACGTTTTGGGAGATGGATTTTATGCAACCAAATGGATATTTGAATGACTCAAATGTGTGGTAAGGTAAATAAACATGAGAAGTTAAAGGACAGAGATTATTGAGAAACACAAGAATTAAGAAATGCAATAAAGAAAGCAACTTTTTGCTGCACCTGATCAAGTGATCACAAATCATTGTTTGCCAAGCTAAAAAAAATAGAAAGTAGGGTTTTTAAAATCATATTGGATGACTTCCCGTCGCGGTTTACAACCCTCCCAGAATTTGATTTACACCCCCAAGATCTTAATTTTTGATATAAAAAAATATTTTTTCATAAGCCTTGGGAAGATAGCTCTCATGTGAGCTGGTTGGAATCATGATTGAGGTGTAAATTTAGGACTGGGGAGGGCTTAAAAAGCACTCTAAATGGCAACGGGAAGTCCTCCGTTTCACCTCCAAGCAGGGTATACAATGAGGCGAGTAGTTTACAAAGCTGTGTATTGGATGTGTGCAACATCCAATTGACAGCTGTGTTAGTTGCCAAGATCAGAGCTAGCAATTGGAGAAATTTAATCATGGCTAATGTGAGTATGTTGAGAGTTCAAAACTTGATTGCACCAACTAGGTGTGTCAAGGCCTTTCATCCTATACAGCAAGAAGAATGTCTGTTTGCATATTTAAATGCTTTCCAGAACAACATGTGATCTATGCACCTAGAAACAAAATCTCAACAGAATTGCAGAAAATATCAACACAAAAATAGTCTTGAACAGCCATCATTTTAATCCAATTCCCAACCAAAAGCTCATTGACAAAGAATATGATTGATAAGCCAATTGATCATCTTGGTGACAACCTTTCTTCTTTATAATCTTAGTATGCATTCAAAATGAATACATTATTTTGTTCTAATCTTCTTGCAGTACACAATTATGTGCAACAAATTTCTGAACAGTGGGTGGACTGTTATTTTTGGCAGCTTGTTTTGGATTCCAGAGCTTCAAAGCACATACTTCAGGTCACAACACTTGGTGAAGTGGTGCAGAACAAGTCCCAGAAAATGCATATATTGAAGAAATAAAAACAAGAAAACAAAATTAAGTTTCAAAATTTGTCAAAAATTATAAAAAGTAAAATTGGGGTTTTGGCTGAACGCTTTGTTATTCATGTTGGAGGAGTGGGAGTGCGGAGAGAAAGAAAGAGTGGAACATGGAAAGAATCATTTTATAAGTGAAAAAAAACTGGAACCATCAAAGGTTGAGCCAGGTTGGTGGTCCAAATTGGATTCAAAAAAGTAAATTCTAGTGCTTTACTACAAGGTGAGTTGGTGAATGCCCTACTCAACAGCCATTTAAAACCATCTGGCCGGAACTTTCTTTTTTTAGTTTTCATTCATAATCATTCTTCCCATTTTCAATTATTTCTTTCTCTCAGCCCTCCCACTCCCCCAAAATGAATATCAAAGCTTTTTAAAAAAAAAAACATTTTTCTTTTTTATGCTTCACAAATTTTGAAACTTTTTTTTTGTTTTTATTTTTTCATATTCATTTCTTGGGACCTGTTCTTCACCCCTTCACCAAGTCTTGTGAATTCAAGTTTCTAAATTGAAGCTTTGGAATCCAAAACAAGCATCCAAAAATAACAGTCCACCTGCTGTACAGTGCCTAGACAGTGAAAAGAGTGATTTTGCATATCTTATGCAAGTGTACCCTGCAGCTAGAGAGTCAGTGCACCGTTTCTCTGTAGTGTGCCACCTGCATATCCAGCCAGTTGCTACCCTCCCTATTTGTTCACAAACAACAACAATCAACAGAAAAAAAAAGTAATTATTTCCTTTCTTATCTATCTCCTTTCCGGTGCCAATTCATATTTGCAGTTCTTCAGATGCCACACAGACTGCAAAGCAAAAACCACAGGTGTCATTTGAGCAAAAAGCAATCATTGCTGGCATGTCAAAGGCCGGAATAAAGCCAAAAAAGATCTATCAGCATACCGGTATTGGCTGAACAACAGTATCTGCCATCATCACCCATTTGCTTGCTTGTGGGACTGTTGCAAGGCAGCCCAAGACTAGCAAGACAGACCTCCACCAGCTTGGAAGGATTCTCAAGGAAAACTCTTGCATGAAGATGGTGGAGTTTCAAGAGCAACTTGCTGTTCCAATCAGTACCCAAACTGCTAGACAACAAGCTCACAAGCTTGGTTTCAACAATTGGGTGGCTGTGAGGAAACCTTTCCTCACCAAAACGGGGGTTGATAAGCGCACGCCAACCCCCATGGCGCACGCCAATCTGCACGCCAGCTGCAGATTGGCGTGTGCGCCTGCACGCCATTGCAGAATGGCGTGCAGGCGGGCAGACCTATCCGCAGCAGGCGTGCATCTTTGCGTAGATGTTGGGGGGTCTGCAATCATACCAAAGGCATGAATGATTCCTTTTTGGTGTCCAGCTAGCATGCTTGTGATCAATTTTTGGCTACAA